AAACTGTGTCTCAGTACGAATTTTTTGGTGTATCTCCTTATTTGCGCTTATATAGTAACAGAAGTGTATTAGAAGAGAACTGTTTGTGATGTATGTTTGTATGTGTGTGCATGTTTGTATGTGTGTATGTGTGCTTTTGTATGTGTGTGTGTTAATGAGTGTGTGTATGTGTATGTGTGTGTGTGTGTATATGAGTGGGTGAGCGTGTATGCATGTTTGTTTAGTGGGTATTTATGAGTGGATGGATGTATGTGTGTGTATGTGCGTATTTGTTTCTGTGCATATTTGCGTGTATGTATGCTTTTGTGTTTATGTGTGTGTATGTATGTTTGTGGGTAGGGGTGTATGCTTTCATGTGTGTGTGTGTGTGTGTGTGTGTGTGTGTGTGTGTGTGTGTGTGCATGTTTATGTGGGTGTGTTCATGTGTTGCGTGTCTTTATTTGTACGGATGCCTGTATGTATGTGTCTGTATACCTGTATATTTTTGTGCACGCATGTTTTTGTTTTTTTTTTTCCAATAGTTAATTCGAATACTTTGGAGGACGTAGATGCATAAAGCATAAGGATAGAGATAATTGAGAATTTGTCAGCTTCATAGATGGAGGCTCAGACTATGAGTTTAAAGGGAATGGTTCCCCATACACGTACAACTTAAAGATTTCATATTCAACCTCCAAATATGCGTAGCTTCCAAGTAGAGACACTTGAAAGTTTTGGCGGGAAAATTGCTCACTGAACAGCTAGGTCATACTTTTTCAAACAACGATCGTTCAACGAAAATTGTTCATTTTCCTTTATGCAAAATTTACGATGATTTACGCTAGTGAGCGCACAAGGTAAGCGTAAAGCAGCAACCACTCATACGGTTAACGAATTGATTGCTTTAATTCAGTGCAAAAACGCATGATCTCACCGGCAAGCCTGGTGTATTCCAGTTTAGCGTTTTGATAAAGACTGCTACTTTAATTTCACGAGGATTCGATGGAGCGAAGAATGCTTGGCGTGTTTTTTCTTCGGCTTCTTCGTCAATAAGCGGTGCGCAGAAAGTTACTGTGATCGCGTGAGAAAGTAAGATTCGATGGACAAAGTATATTGCTCGTCTTGCTGACAACCGATGGACGTCGCGCATTGATGAGCAGTGGGAGCGAGAAAGAAAATGACTACTCGGGCGACCATCGAAGAAAAGTAGCACAAACTATGCAGCCCAAGATCGAAGTGCTTGGCACTCCGGTAACGCCACGAACATAAGGTACCCTGGTTGACGGTCCCGGCAGTTTTCCTATTTTTGGTGCGATTTTTTAGTGAGCCAACCTTGATCATTAAGTGGCCCTTTTTTTTTGAGATATTAATTTTATATGACAAATTATTTTTCGTCTTTTTTTTTACGGCGATACTTTTTCACAGTTTTTGTTAAATTTTGTTTTAGAACGCTGTCCTGTTGGGTCTTGTTGGCTTTCTAAAATCAGTGAATGTCGAGTTGCGTCTTCATGTTGATTCAGTTCAGACTCGTGTGGTTTTTACTTTTATAGTTTCTTTCTCCTCGCTCAACGAAGAAAATTTGAGGAAATTCCGCCCGTTGACAGAAAAAGCAAGGCGTATTGATTTTACACATTGATTCCTAATTTGCATGGCAAAATTTGCATATCGCTCTTCCCAGTTTGCATGGATGTAAATTAATAATGCAAAAAATGGAAAAATTTGCCACAAACTTCGTTTAGTTCTCCGTCTTTAAACAAAATTTCGAAAAGCATATTCCATCATGCAAGTATATTTTTCATACGTTTATCGAACAATACAGAGAAAAAAAATGTACAAAAATAAAATAGCAGGAAGAATTAAAAGCACAAAAACTGAGGTAATCCCGTACATTTGCATATAAAGAATCCTTGTATTCCGTATTTCCAACTTCAGGGTTATCCAAAAAAAATCCAAAACAGTAGTACAACGCTCCTTCTATGAGAAAATGCGATTTTCGAGCCATTTCCGAGTGCCCCTCCCTCTCTATTACTGAGAATGAACATGAGGAGGTTTTAAGTTTTGACTCTGACAATAACTTTAGTCACTAGCGGTAAAAAAAATGAAGTAGGTAGTTTTCTGGTCAAAAAAAAAACTGATGAGAGCTATGAAGTATTTTGTAACCTCCTGGAGATGTTTGATCTTTTCGAATGGTACAGAATTCAGGAAATACGATACAGGATCCAAGGCAACAGCAAGTAAAAAGTGATGAATTACTTTCTTAAACGAGAAAGATTATACGAGTCAATATTGAAAGTGAATGAAGTTGCATGCTACAGAAGTAGCACGAAGGAAGCAAAAATTCAAAATACACTGAAATCTCAATAGTGGAAAAATCTGTAAACAAATCTGGATTAAAAGTTCCATAGTTTTAATAACAGCTCATACTTCCAGTCATTAAATTTTCACCGTAGAGTTTCAAAAAGGTCAGCCGTGCTGTGAACAGAACTCCCTTGCAAAAGAAGCGCGGACGAGGGGGGGAATCGAACCTGGCATTTTCATGCCCGAATGCGACGTGCTAAACCACTACACCACTTAATTTTGGAGCATAGACTGGCAGCACCTTTACTGTGTATCCGCCTTTAGGGCACTTTTGTCTGCCTTTCCCACAGTGAAGTATGAGATGCTTTTCACTGGGACTGTGATGTTGCATTAAAAAATAACACAGAAAAATGGTATTAATACTTCTACTGGTATAGTTCTTCTTAAAGGTGACACCTTTGCAAATGTCGTTCCTGCGTGATTCATTCAAAAATTATCTGACTGATTAACGACCTTATAATCACTTGGTTCGATCAGCGCTCTCATCAATACTGCAGTTTTTCTCCCTTCTTTTATTATCCAATACTTGTTGAAAAAGCTGAAAAAAAAGTTCAGTAAGGTAGCTTTACACACACACACACACACACACACACACACGCACACACACACACACACGTTCAGCAAACCAAAAACCCTGGCTTTTTCCAGAATCTCACTGATCACTTTTATTCAAAATTTAATATTAAATATAAAGTTATTTGCAAATTTTGGACAGAATTATAAACGCAGTTGATGAAGTAAATATCAGTTAATACGAAGTATATTCGAAGAAATTAAAGAGTGAAACCTGCAATATATACGAAGAAACAAGAATCTGGCTGAGATTAGGAAGCCAATGGTAACGGTTATTGTCTTATCACTAGTAAGATTCATCTCGGAAGACCCACGAAAAGTTGGCCAATAAACTGCCACAAGGAAAAAAAGAAAGGAATGGCGTTTTGCCTTGAAAGGCAAATACACAGTAGACGTGCTGCCAGACTGAACCTGGAGCACAAGGACCGATGGTGTAGTGGCAACACGTTGCGTCCGGACGTGAAGAGGAGTGGTTCGATTCCCTTCCGATCTAGGAAAATTTTCGAGAAGGAGCTACGTTCGCGACCGGATTCTTCATCCTACCGTTTGTTTTTTTCTCAAAAAATTTTTTTCCGAAGATAATAATTCTCACATTTTTAGTCGTTTCCTGATAATTCTTTTCTGAGTTTTGTGAATAGAGTGTGCCGGTGCTGTGAAATTCTGTCGATGATTTTTCATCTGTGACTGCAATCCTCTAAAACTGGAAAATACTTATGATGCGAGTTAGTTTTGACAAGCAGTGCAGGA